GTCTCCTAAATTAAAACCTTGTTATGTGTCATGTCATAAACTATATGGCATTGTAGAAAACTAAAAATAGAAGAAGAAGAAACTATCTGACCTTATTGTGAATATGTAGAATCCAAACCCAAGCAAATGGAACATCTAAATACACAAGCCGATTGTAGTACCAACAAGCCCAATGTAATCTCAATTATCCCATATGTTGTTTAGGTTCCAAGCAAATAGTTTACTAAGTCATACAAACTTTGATTGTTGTATGAGATAAATCTCAATAATTATTTGATCTTGGTGACAATTTAAGCTTTCTCTTCTTTGAAATTTCTTTACACAATAAAGCTCATTATGAGCTAATTCATTATATTAGTTTCAATTTTATTTTCTATATAATAAAGCTCTTAATGAGTTCGAATCATCTGCTTTGGATTCTACTTTGAGGCTAGAACATATTGTAAGCTAGGTATAAATCTCCTTGTCGTAATGCAAAACTCAATACTATTTGTAAGCTCATATTTCAGGCAGTGGATATTATACTATATGGAAAAGGGAAGAATGTGAGGATTCACTCTCAAGTATCCAAAACTACTCATCAGCTAGTTAAGGATATTCAACTCACTCTCAAAAGCAAGTTAGCTGGTCTTGATCGTTCTACCACTAAGCCGCACCACTTTCGTAAGCTTCCATCAATTTACTTGGTTAAGGTACATCCTAAAGAATCCTTGTTTCACATGAAAAACCCAGCTAAAAACTTGGTGCTATCTAAAACCTAGATTTCAGTTCTAGTCTCCTATGATCAATTTGGTTTCATTACTTTATTGTTTGGGTTGCTTCAAATATGTTTCAAACTCTACTTTGTATTAGCGAAGGCATGTCTTCATTTTGTTCTAACTTGTACGATCAAAAATGTTGTCCCTATAAGGGCAAGATAAATGGATAAAAATACTATTTATACTTTTAAGGAAGACAAAAAACACTAATAATTAAATTCGAAAATGTTTGTCGTCAATACAATGTTTATGATAAGAACGGGTTATCACATGAACATTACAAACTATATTTTACGTATGGCCAAATTTTAATTATGTCCAAATGAACTAACACATATATATACCTAAAATAAAAAAAAATAAAAAAAAATAAGATGAACTGAATTGAATAAAATATTAGATATGAAGAGAAAATCATATGAACAACTTTTCAAAGATTTCGAATGGATCACCCCTATATGATGTAATGAACAATGTCCAAGTAATTAACGTAGGGGAGAATTATGAAAAACAAAATATAATTTTATATTAGAAAAGTGAAACTTTTAAATTAATAAAACAGTATAAATCAAAATCAAGTATACCGAAAGCTTTCTTTTTTTATAATGTGAATTATATATTTAAGAATTTGACATAGTTAGTTTACTCATATTTATTTATTTAAAAGATATTAGGCTCTAAAAACAATGGAATTCCGAAAAAGCATCTCTAGCTAAGCTATAAACCATTTTTAACATCCTTAACTTAGAATCCAAATTTTTTTCATATATGTATTGGCTAAAAGTCTAAAACTAGCATCTGCTCTAAGCTCTATATGTACCCATATCCACATCTCAAACAAAAGCCATAAGATAACAAAGAAACAATATTTGAAATCACCAACGAGAGAAACAAAAAGAACAAAAAAATGAAGACATTTATGATAATCTTGCTGGTGATTTGTAGCATCTTGATTGCAGGACGAGTTGAAGCTAACAATCCTAAGAGGAAATATTTAAATCCGGGTATTCTCAATCCATGCTTGCGTCCTAATGCTCATAAAGGATGTCAGCGTCCTCAATATAGACCCCGTACTCCGGTAAATTCATATAGTCGTGGTTGCTCCACCATCCACCGATGCCGCCGACAGACTCCGTGAGATCGAATGACATATTTTATGGACTTATGGAACCACATAAGTCATATTATGTATATGTTTCAAAAACTTTCACATGATTGATCTTCAATATTGGCGATGCTCATGGGGTTTGACTTTAATTAATTCATGTACGTGTAATAGTAACTAATTTTTTTAACAAAGCAATGGGATCTATTTTTTTTGCAACAAAATTTGTATAATGGGCTCTATTATGTGTATAAATTCCTTATATATATGAAATAAAATTTAGTTTCTTTCCTTTCTTCTTTTATTATTGAAATATGAAAAAGCCAAAGAAGTACAACCATAAACCCAAAAAAAAAACAGATGCCCATTACACAAATTAAATAGTCATAACAAATTCGATTTAAAAAAAAAAAATAGTCTAGAAGAGTCAAGATGCTATTAAACAGAGGTCTTAGGTCGTTCTCACTAAAAATAAACCATCATATATCCAAAAGGGCCACAACATCAAGCCATTAGCGACATAAGTTTACAGAAAATTAACGAAGGCTAATCATCATTTTCTAGATTCATCGCTTTTTACAACCTAGCTAGTTAAGCTTCCAAAGCATTTTTTACCCTCGTTTCCAATATCACCACAATCCCCTAATAACAGTTACAATCTAATAAGGGTTTTTCACCAACCGACGGCATCTCGAAGTTTAAAATTTAAAATGGATATGTCAAAAGACTTGTGATAAAAGCGGAATGATCGTTTCTATTGAATCTCTTCCGATCTATGGGGGTTCACTAAAAATATGTGTAGAAAGATCTCACCTCGGAAAAATGGAAAAAAACTTAGTTAATATATTATAAGGAATATGAGCCAATGACTTATTCTCAATTGGTTTTGAGTTGAAATTCAATATTACTTATCATGGTATTAAACTAAAACACATGATGTTCCATTCATCCGGGTTGATCACCCCACTAATTGATGGTTAAAAAAAAAAAGCTAAATTCAGTCAAGATAACAAGCTGAACATTATTTCGAAAGACATGATTCTGTCGAGAAAAACCATGAGAAGACATGTAGAAAAAGCATTCACATGAGGAAGATGAAAAAATAGTTTCCTAATATATAAACGATATGAGCAATTTACTCATTACCAATTAAGTGGTTTTTTAATTAATATGTGAATTCAATAAAACCCATATGTGTGAATTATTTAGTTTAACAAGTATTTACTATTTAGTATACACTCGTTAAAATAAATAAAGAGAAGTAGTTTTGATGTTTAAAAAATACTATTTTAAGCTATATTTTTATATAAAAAATTATATAAATAATTTAAAATTAAAAAGAAAAGGGATTGGCGCATGAAAATTATATCTCTAGTCAGTACACATTATCATGAATCTAAGAACTTAATAATAAAACCTAAAGTGGTATTCAATATATTAAGATAGAAGTTCATGAACTTTCACCCAACAAAAAAAACAATTATATTCATACCAATTTAAGTACATGTGACACATAGATAATATTTTTGTTTTTAGAAATTTAACAAATAATATATTCATGAACTTTCACATTTTTTATAGTTATGCTAATTTAAATATATGCAACACGGGGATATAGTAAATTTTGCATTAAAGCAAAAGACATGATCAAATCACAAATATATTTTTATTCATAAAGATCATTCATAAAAAAGTAAATTAAAAACATATTGTACTTTTATTTCATCACCACTAGTTTTAGTGTTTTACCATTCACCGATGGTTCCAGCAATCCATTTCAATCCAATCAAAAGCATGTGTTTGGTTGGCATGGTTTTGGTTAGTGAGTGACTAAATAAGTTGTTTTTTTAAATATTTTTATCAGCTAATTTTTAACTTAAACCAAACACAACAAAACTAAAATTGTATGAAACCAAAATATAATTAGTTTTATACTTTTATGTCAGTTTTTAAAACAAAATTTTAAACCGAACAAAACCAAACCATAAATCGATAAGACTAAAAATCAATGTTCAAGAAATCGCTCGACGGTATATAGGCGGTGATCCAGTGTCTACCACCTAAAATGCTTAACCGAAACCTAGGAGATTTTAGGCGGTTTTAACGTTTATAACATAAAATATTATTATACAAAAATATCTATAAAAAATATATAAAATCGTAAATAAATAGACAACACATTTATTTAGTTATATCAAATAATATATAAGTGTTTATAACTATGAATATGGATATATATATAAACTTATTTAAAAACTAGAAAAATACATTAAAACGAGATTTTATGCGTTTTTAGATGGACGAGGCTGTCGTCTACGCGCAGAGCCGGCCCTAGCCACAAGCATGTGAAGCATCTGCTTGTGGCCTTCAGAATATATAGTTGTAACTCGGCCCCAATTTACGAAAACTTTATTAGTTCAGGTGGTAATAGCTGAGAGATTAAATCCCTAGCATCACGGGTTCGACTCACACTTCCTTCCTTTTTTCTCGTTTGTTAATTTTTTTTTCAAAAATGAATTTTTACAGGCCCAAAAAAAACATGTGGGCTTGTGGCCCCAAAACTTATAGCGCCGGCTCTGTCTACGCGTCTCCTGAACGCCTAGCGGCGAGTGCTTAGCGACTAATAAGGGCATAGCAACCTCGCTTGTTAGAACTTAGAACATCGCTAAAAAATCACACAAATTAACTTGGACTCCAAAACCAGTATTCTAATTTTTCTCGTTCAATCATGAACCGGAGAGTTTCCATATATAGACGTGTCCGCATATTTAAGGAAGAAACGAAAAAAAGTCGTATCCAAACTCTTAATTATGTACATAATTACACATTTATGTAAAGTCGTATCCAAACTTTTTTTTCTGGTCCACGATTCTGATTTTGGCCTCCAAATGATTTCGATAATCTTACAAAACGGGCAATAAAATAGTCAAAAATACATAACTTTATTTCCTAATTAAAAGGCCTTCAAAAACCAAAGATTTGATACCAAAAACAAAAAACCATCACTCACACGTGTCTTAACACGATTCGTAGATCAGATCACAAAAATATAATCGCCACGTCATCGACCGCATGCCCTCGTCGTGTCTCCGCTCACTCAACAAAACGTATCCTTCGCTTTCACGAACGTCGCATAAAAGCTCTGAGAAAAACACAACACAAGAGAGAGAGAGATCAGACAAAGAGAGATTTGTAATAATCATATCATGGGGAAGAGAAGAGGTGTCTCCGCCGTGAACGTGGTTTTCGGGTGGCTAAGACAACAATCGAACAAGGTTAAGATAGCTTTAGGAATTATCATCTCTTTGATCCTCGTCGTGTTTCTGAAATTCACCGTTAGGAATCACAATCACTTTTTCATCGCCTCCGAGCTCATCCACGCCACCGGAATCTTGATCCTCATCTACAAACTCACTCGCCAAAAGACTTGCTCCGGTAACAATAATAATCCCACCATATCATAAAAATTTTAACTTTAAATTACAGACATTTGTTCTTGGTAATGTGATTAAATATTCTTTCAATGTTGTGTAATCTTATAAGCTCTTTTAGTTTGGCTAATGAACATTTATGCTTATATTGTGTCAATGGATCATTTTGGTTTTGTCTCATAGAATATGTAAATGGTTTGAATGATTAGGTCTTTCTTTAAAGTCTCAAGAAGTGACAGCAATATTTCTAGCTGTGAGATTGATATGCAGCATAAACATGGAAGGGGATATCCATACAGTTCTCGATTTCGCCACCTTGGTTTCGACTCTATGGGTCATTTATATGATTCGATACAAGCTGAAAGCATCTTATATAAAGAGTCTGGACACTTGCTACAACTACTATGTGGTAATGTTTTGGTTTTAAAGAGTGTGAAAATGTTGTTTGTTTTTGGATTCTCTCGAAATGATTTAAGTAACATGTTTCTTGCTTTTTCCCCAACCAGCTTGTACCATCAGCTATCCTTGCGTTGGTTATTAACCCGAGTACGAGTTATTCTTACTTCCACCGTATCTTGTGGGCGTTTTGCGTTTACACAGAATCTGTCTCTGTTCTACCTCAACTTCGATTAATGCAAAATGCTCAGGTTAGCCGCTTTTGACATATCTATGTATCTTTAGATTTTTTTCTGTCAAGGTAGAGTTAGCAGTTTAACAACCTATGATGTTCTAGGGTTGGAGCTAGTATTCGTCATGTTGGTCCAGTGGATCGAGTCTCATCCACTACACTTATATATTGGCCAATATAGACGCATTTAGTGGCAAAAAAACTTAGTCTAGAGACTTAGGTCCAAAACTTAGGCCAATGTAGCCAATCTAAGTGGTAATTAGAAATTCTGGTTTTCTACAATTCTAGTGATTAGTCTAGACTTAGGTCCAAAACTTATGCCGTTATAAAAATAAAAAGTTTTAACATTTTCTTGAACAATCGTTTCAGATCATAGAGCCTTTCACAGCTCATTACGTGTTTGCGCTCGGAATAGCTAGATTTTTGGCATGCGCTCACTGGATTATCCAGGTAAAGTTCTTTTTCTTAATCCATCAACTAAGCTTTCATGATTAAGCTCAAGAGACTAAATGGTCTGAAAACATAGGTCGTTGAGACTCGTGGACACTACCTATGGCTGCTCGGGGCTGGTTACTTTTGGTTCCCGGTTGCTCTAATAGCCGAGATCGTTCAAACCTTCATCCTCGCCGACTTTTGCTACTACTATGTCAAAAGGTAATCGTCTTACGCACAAATGATTAAATTTGTTGTAACAATTTCAGGGACTTGACAATGTTGTTGATGTCTTTTTATCACTTCTTGCAGTGTTATGGAGGGTCAGCTAGTACTGAAGATGCCAGTTTAAGATCATCTAGTATAAATGAACCAATACATTTTGCTTGTTTTATTTTTCAACTTTAAGCTACAACTTTAACCAAAGTAGAATTGCTCAAAATAATCTAGAAAGGTTTCTTTCTTCTCTATTTCCTGCTTTTTGTTTAAGAATCTTTAGAGAGTTAATTACAAAGAAAGAATTGCTTTTTTCTTACTCTTTTAACTATTTGATATATCTATACACATTGTGGAGAGCCGAATATTCGTTGAGATTGTACAACGACGTTTTAACCACCAGATTAAAAGACCTTGAACAAAAAAAAAAAATTGATTAAACCTCGTCATAATTAAAGGAAAAAATTTGAGTTTTTTATGTAATTTTTGTAAGTGTCTATTTCTACATAAATGTATTTAGAATCAATTACGAAAAAGCCTCTTTTTAGTGCCATTTGTGGATTTTAATCGGGTCTATTCGGGTAGGAGGTCGAGACCCATTCGAGTATTCTAAAAATTCGGTTCGGGTTCGGTTCGGGTTCGGGTTCGGGTCGGTTCGGGTATTTTAATAAAAAAGCAAAATACCCGAAAATAACCAAAAAATGCCCGAAATATTTTCGGGTTCGGGTCGGGTTCGGGTTTTTTTACTCGTATATACCCAAATCTAACCGAAATACCCGATTTCTCAAAAATACATTGGTTACTCTTTACCCAAATATAACCAAAAATATCTAAAAATACTAAAATTACCCAAAAGAAAACTACATCATTAGTTACTTTTTAACCAAATATATCCAAATGTATCCGAATTACTCAAAAATACCTAGTATATTCGGATTTGTGATTGTAATTTTAGGTATTTCGGATATTATAATTATAAATATAACTAATATTTTTAGGTGTATATTTGTATTCGGGTACCCACGGGTATTGGATTCGGTTCGGGTTCGGTTCGGGTTTTTTTCGGGTAGGAAGTCTAGGACCCATTCGGGTATTTTTAAAAATCGGTTCGGGTTCGGTTCGGATATTTTTTCGGGTTTTTCGGTTCGGGTATTCGGTTCCGGGTATTTTGCCCAGGCCTATATTTTATCATTTTGCCTTAAATATTTTAGATTTGTCATTTTTCTTAATCTAAAAACATAATTTTATATATTATGTTTGGTTCTTTTTTTTGTTCCATTTTTTAATATGGTATTTTATATTAAAATTTTTACAAATGCATAGTTTTAAAGTGACCAAAAATGATAAATCTAAAATATTTAAAACAAAATACCAAATCCAAAAAATTTGGACGACAAAATGGTAAAATCCTTGTTCTAAAAATCGGCCGCCTAGCCGATTACTCGTCCGGATAGGCGCTCATCGGAGCACCACCGCCGCGATTTGGATCAATTCGCTCAAAAAATCGGAAACTTTTAGAAAAACTCACTTTTGATGAAATTGAAGTTCTAAATCGGTCTTTAGGTTGTAGATCTATCATATTTGGGTAAAAATCACTGAGAAAACGAGAGAAAACGATAGCAATCGTGAAAAAAAAAAACAAAAAACGGTGAAATTAAGGTTGCAGTCGCGCAGGATCTGAGGAAGAAGACGAGGGCAATTCAGTCATTTACTATTTTATTAAACCAAAAAATAAGAAAAAAGGACAGAACATAGCAATTGAGGCTCGAACCCATGTTGGGCTACATATAAAAGTCACTATTTGCCACTGCACCATATTAATTTATTGACAAATGTTCCAACGTTTGCTATATATACACATATACAAATAAAAATATTAAAAACTAATCCCCGATTAATCCCCGTTTAATCTCCGATTTTTTCGCTAGGCGCTAGGCCCACCCCGAGCGCCCGACTAACGCCTAGCGATTTTTTAAACAAGGGGTAAAATCAACAATAATCCCCAGATTTAACGAAAATAACTTTAAAATAGACCCCAAAGAAAAAACGAAAATAAATAAAATTAATCATTTGGAAGATTAGAAGAAGAATTTATCTGATACGTACAAGTACAACAATCATACATATAAACTCTACAAAAGCCATTCTACAGCTTTTTTTGTTCTCACGTCGCTCTCTCTCTCTTTCGAGATTCACCTGTAAAACCCTAACTAGCGCCATAGCCAAAGCAACCTTCCTCGGATCGTCGCTCGAAATTTTCCGGTTAATCGTCAGTTTTTCTTCAAGGTAAACTCTAATTTTGTCTCTACTCCATCGGAAACTTCTCCGAGCAACGGCATACTTACTTACTCCACTCTTTTTCGTTTTTACTTGATCGATTTGAATTCTAGACTGTTCTAGTGCTTAGATCGGTTCTTTGTAACTTCGATTTGTGCTTACCTTCTTCGCAAATCTTCTTCGCATTACTTGACGAACTGATTTCAAGGATAGTGGATCTTAATTGATTTTCTGTATCCAGATCAGAGATCTCTCTTTCTCGTATCACTGTTTTGTTTTACGTCTCCATTGAAGTGGAATTAGTGATTTACAAGGTGATGATGATTGATTTTGATTTGCAGGGGAAAATTAAGGCTATGGCGATGTTAGGTGCACAGCAAGTTCCAACAGCAGCTTGTACTCCAGATATGGTATGATCCAGAATCCAGATGCATTTTGTGTTTGTTTTGATGAAAGTTAGAGAATGTGAAAAGTACATTGTTGTTTATTCGTGTGTTTATAGGTTGGGAATGCTTTTGTGCCTCAGTATTATCACATATTGCATCAATCTCCTGAGCATGTTCATAGATTTTACCAAGAGATTAGCAAGTTAGGTCGTCCTGAAGAGAATGGTTTAATGAGCATCACTACTACCTTGCAAGTGAGTGTACTATAACTTAGCTCTTTCTTTGTATTCTTGAAGTTCTGTTGAAATTGTGCTGAATATAAGTATGTATATATATTTTGAGCAGGCTATTGACAAGAAGATAATGGAGCTAGGTTACGGTGTAATCAGTGCGGAGATTGCAACTGTGGACTCACAAGAATCTTATGGTGGTGGTGTTCTTGTACTGGTGACTGGGTATTTGACGGGGAAAGACAGTGTCAGGAGGATGTTTAGTCAGACCTTCTTCCTTGCTCCACAGGAGACAGGATACTTTGTTTTGAATGATATGTTCCGATACAGTGATGAAGCCGCAATCGTACATGGAAATCAGATTCCAGTGAACAACATCCAAGTTCCTGTCAACACTTACCAGGGTGAGTTGTACCTAGCTTTTGTATTTGCCTCCTTCAAATCAATAAATTCGAAGTTGTTTTTTTTTAATGGGACTCTGGTTTTTATAAGCGTTATAAATATTCTTGTGCTTTAGATACAGCTGCTTCGAAAGACATTCCAGATGACTTTGTTCAGGAAAAATATGTCCAAGAGAATCATGCTGTTAAGCAAACCGAGGTGTTGTCCAAAAGCATTAATGGGCCTGAAGTGTTCACTCCCTCTGAAGATGAACAAGTATCAGCTACAGAAGAAGTTCTGGCACCTGAAATAGTTAATGAAGCACCAATTGAAGCGCAGAAGGTTGGAGAATCTGATTCTAGGACTGGCGAAGTTCCAAAGAGATCTTATGCATCCATTGTAAGTAACATACATTTGGGTTGTGTTATGTCTCCTCTTGGTCAAGCTGATGTGAGATGTTTGGCTTCTTTGCCCTTATGATTTGATGCCATTCGCGTTCTTAATCATGATATGTAGGTGAAGATGAAAGAGAATGCTGCACCAGTGTCTGCTTCGAGAACTCCGACAAAGGTGGAACCAAAGAAACAAGAAGAGCAAGCCATTCATATCCCTCTACCAACACCATTGTCTGAGAAATCAGATTCAGGAGCAAATATAGCTGTAAATGAGAACAATCACGATAATGAAAGAGGTAAATGCTTTTTCCTGGCTATGTGTTTTTTATTTCTTAACGGTAAGCATGCTCAGCTGCAATCTTTCTCATTTCTTGATTCTGGAACAGCTCTAGGTCCATCCATCTATCTAAAGGGCTTGCCACTTGATGCAACACCAGCCTTGCTTGAGAATGAGTTCCAAAAATTTGGACTTATTAGGACCAATGGAATTCAAGTGAGAAGCCAGAAGGTAAAAGAGTCCATGCTTATTAATGCGTAACAGTTCTAATAGATAGTAATCTGCAGAGTATTTATTCTTTTGAGTATTGTTCTCTATGCAGGGATTCTGTTTTGGTTTTGTTGAGTTTGAATCTGCAAGTTCCATGCAAAGCGCTATCGAGGTAAGAACCAACGGTATTACTTTTGAACTTTTCAAGGCCCTGAACATCTTAGGCTAACTAACTGTTACGGGATTTTCCAACAGGCATCACCTGTCTTGCTCAATGGGCACAAAGTAGTTGTGGAGGAAAAGCGATCTACTGCAAGAGGCAAGTTGCTTAAAACTTTGCGATATGAACTCCCAGATCTTAAGACATATTTATTTATCATTCGTTGTTGAAACAGGGAACTATAGAGGACGTTCGACATTTGGTGTGAACTCAGGATACAGAAACGAAGGGGGAAGGGGTCGTGGGAACTTTGGTGGTGGAAGAGGAGGATATGGCCGGACAGACTTCAACGGATATGGTAATAACAGGGGAAACAATAGAGGAGGATACGCAAACCGAGCAAATGGTGACGGTGGTGGGTTCCCGAGAGCCAATGGTAACAACGGACGTGTAAGACGTGGTGGCGGAATTGATGCTAACAGAGCTACTAAACCCGTGGATGATGCTCCCCGTGTGTCTGTTACTGCTTAAATGTGCTTTTGAAACAAAAAGCTCCATTGGTTTTAGAGTTTAGGCGTAGAGCAATGGCAAAAAAAAACACTATTATTCTCTTTTCACTGTGTCGCCATTTTATTAATTGGAGTCAAAACATGAGAGCAAGAGAGAGTTTCGTCGGTTCTTGCTTGTCTATTTTTTTACTGCTAATGAAATCTCTTTCTTCATATGGCTAATTCTATGCTTTACTGATTCTGAAGATGTAGGAAATTATGAATTTCTTCTTTTCGAGAGAAATGTTGAATTAGCCAAGTAGTTATGAATCTCATAATACGATGTCAAACTTTATAATATATTTAAGCTTTGATATAGGTTGCCATAGAATTACGACAGCTATGAACAAAATACAAGTATTCTACTAAACCCTCAAAAATATATAAATAAACAACAAACAAAAACTAAGGTTAAAAGTTCGTAGAGCTTAAGTACCAACATATGCTTTCAGATTTTGATGATAAAGAAAAAATTTCAGAGTTCAGAGGCCGAAATTGCAAGCCTGAACAAACTCGAGGTCATAGTCGACATGTTTGGTCCAAAGTGGTCGAAACTGGTTCATAGCTATGTCCAGCCATGGCTTCATGTTACCGTTGAAGTGTACCACTGCAGCGTTACGGATCTCATCCATGCTAATGCTCGGATTGTAACCCAGCCCAAGCACATGCCATGATTTGTCCAGAGGCTTTGTGGTCGAGTAAAACGTGATCAGTCCCGGTGGTAATGTTCCCAGTTTCCATAGAGCCCTGTTCTCGTTCTGCAATTCAAATAAACACAACAAAGTCAAAGAAACATCACACAATGCAACGCAGTGTCAAAAGAATATCAGAAAGGTTACCAGATTTTGCCAGTAGTGATATTCTTCTGTGCACTTCTCTCTTCTCCAAGCATCAAGATCAAAGAAGTTCATTCCATACGCCCACGCGCATGCTTTGGGATTAAACTTCTCTTTGATCAAAGGATGTGAGAAATTCATGTATTGAGCATACCGATGGAACGACCCAAAACAAGTCTCTACAGCTCCATTCACTTTCCCATCCATATCGATCTCCCACAGCCCGGTTAAATCCTTCTGCACAACCACATCGTCGTCCAAAAACAGTATCCTATGTAGTTTCGGGTACATCTCGGGTAAATAAAACCTCAAGTGATTCAATATAGACAAATACTTGGGGTTCCTGAACTTCATATTCGTGGTATCCTTGGTCGCATTCTCGAGCTTATTCTCGAAATAGAACTTCTGAAGATTCGCAGACTCCAATTGCTTCAACACAGGAACATACGAAGAGTTCAAAAACGTATAGTCCTCAACAGCTTTAACTTCTACATGAGCTCCTTTATACTCCTTCAGTTTAAACATAACCTGCATCGCCCCAAGATTCATCTTATCAGTCACAACATGAAAGACATGCTTCCACGGCTCCTTAGCATTCTTCACAGCAGAGTTCACAACCACTGACGCCGCAATCACATTATCCGAAAATATAGCGTAATGGTAAAGATTCGGATCCTCAAGCTCCGACGGTCTATCTTTCCCTTCATCAGTATACTTCTCAGGGTGAGCAATCCTCTCTTCCATCAGCCTCATCGCAAGACAATGCAATCCCTTTGGTATCGATTTCGCAGCAATCAAACTCGAAAACGCACCTTGCTTCTTAGCATTAGTTAACTGTTCGTTAACCGCGAAAATCGTATCTTTCAGCTTCTGAATCTTCAACTGATTATCAAAAGACTCTTTAGCTTCAGCAATCACTTGACGAGTCATTTTAATCCGTTCCTTAACTTCTTTCTCAAATTGCCTAAGCACAGATTCTTCAATCGAAGCTCCATCAGAATCATACAAAGCTCGATACGTCGGTTTATTAATCAGATCTGTATAATTCCTCGAGAGATCAGCGAAGATCCTAACGAGTTTCGAATTCTCTAACTTAAGCTTCCTCGCGTAAGAAGCATAAGCTAATGCTAATGACCGATGATCATCAGCTTGTTTCCGGATCTGAATCAACCGTGGCTTAAGAGGATCCGATTTAATATCCAACATGGATCTTCTAGATCCGACTCCATTAGAGTACTCAACACCCTAAAATTCCACAAAAATTCGAAAAAATTAAACACAAATCTTTGAATACGATTTGATCGGAGAGATCTGATAGAGAGAACTTACGGGAAGATGGAGATCAGGTGAATCGTTAGAATCGGAAGCGAAGAAGAAGGAGAGAGTGAAGAGGAAGAGTGCAATAGTGGAAGCGAAAGCTGTGAGTCTGATTCTGCCACCGGTTATCGCCGGAGATCCGCCGCCGCGTAAAAGTCGGTGGTGATTAGCCATTGGGGAGAGAACACTTTGCAACTTGAATCTCACAGTTACATTCAATTTTCAATTATAGAGCTATTAATGGAATCTCTCCCGTCTTCACTAATCTTACGCGGCCAAACTATCAAATGTGTCGGTAACCATTTTTTCAACTTTTTTTTAATGTTAATTGAAGTGTAACAAATATTTTTGACTTTCTATTAAATTTTGTAGTAAAAATTGCCAAGTTGTGTTTTTTGTTCAGATCTGAGATTCGATTTGTTAAGTACGTAACATATTGGGAACAAGACTGATTATATTACTTTTAGACATTTCCCTTACCGAATTTAAACTATGCAACCATAAATTATTATTTATAAATGGTTACAAGATTTTAGTTAATAAAATGAATGGTAATGAAATCTAAGACCATACAAATTTACGATTTAAGAAAAATATTATTGTGGGATTAGATCATTAGAAGACAGAGATAAGACTAAATGATAGAATATCTAGGCATGTCCATTTTAGGTATCCGAATGAAAAATCATATACTATTATTTGGGGAGTACACTTTATAAAATACCCTTAACTAACCTTCCCTTTTGTAAGAATTTACTTAAGAATGTCATACAAAAGTCATCTTTTAGAACAAATTTCATTCAATTTATTAAGGATAAACAAGTAAAATACTAATTTATGTCATTTAATTAATTTAATTAAATTATAAAACGAAAATCTGTTATTATTTTTTTTTTTAAATGACCAATCAAAATGAACATATAAGATTTGATATCTAACTTACCATATTAATTTGTTATTAATCATTAAACTTCACCTCTCATCTTTATATGATTATATTAATATGAAACAAATAAATCATCATATCATTTACATAATAAAAAAAAAGTAATTTTTTTTCTGCATATGCCAAGATTTGAATTTTTAAAAACGCATATAAATTGTTCAATCTATAAAAGAAACAATTAAACGGGTCAAAAATTCAGACTTGAGTAATATATTTCTTTTACACAAAAATAAAGTCAACAAAATAAATATATTAGTATATTACTCAAGTCTGAATTTTTGACCCGTTTAATTGTTTCCTTTATAGATTGAACAATTTATATGCGTTTTTAAAAATTCAAATCTTGGCATATGCAGAAAAAATTACTTTTTTATTATATAAATGATATGATGATTTATTTGTTTATTTATATTTGATTTCATACATTTATTTATGTAAATGATACTCTAATTTGAATATTTATATTCGATTTCATACATTTATTTTTTTGAAATGTATAATTTTATATACTACAATAAAAATTTTAATATTTTAATTTGCAACATTTAAAATAAGTTTTACTTGATATTTTTAGAGAATATCATCAATACTTAATAGTTCAAAAATTTAAAAATTATAAATACTCTAATTTGATTATTTTTAAAAATATTTATAATAGGTAGCGGGTTAAATATAATATATTATATGATGAAATGAGTTTTGATCCTTATAACTATTTGAGTAGTTATATTTAATTTCATATAATTTGTTTTTTGAAATTCATAATTTTATAAACTACAAAAAAAATTAAAGATTTGAATTTGGAATATTGAAAAATAGTGTAGAACATTTAAGAGAAATTGTTAAAAAATGCCCCTTTTTCAATACCCCTTTTCAAAGATGCCCCCTTTGAGAGTCCATTTTTAAGTTTGCCCTCTTTTAATTTTTAATGACCATTTTACCCTTATTTGAAACAAAATTAGGTCCACAAAATACAAAATATTTTTTAGCGGGAAAAGTGATCCCGCAATTTTCCCGCCAAAACACTTGTAAAAACCTTTAAAATACCTTGTAAAATTTTCCCGTAAAAATTTTTCCCGCCAAAAACTTTTTTTTGCGGGAAAAGTGATTCCGCAATTTTTTTGGCGGGAAAAATTTACAAGGTATATTAAAGGTTTTACAGAGTATTTACAAGTGTTTTGTAAGGTTTTACAATGTCTTTTAAAAGTTTTTACAAGGTACTTATAAGGTTTTATAAGGTATTTATAACTTGTAAAACCTTATAAAAAACTTGTAAAACCTTATAACTTGTAAAACCTTATAAAATAGCTTGTAAAATCTTATAATATCTTATAAATACCTTATAAATACGTTGTAAAACCTTTTAAAATACATTGTAAAACCTTATAAATACCCTGTAAAAAACCTTTAAAATACCTTGTAAATTTTTCCCGCCAAAAATTTAACGCCAAAAAAATTGCGGAATCACTTTTCCCGCAAAAAAAAATTTTTGGCGGGAAAAAATTTTACGGGAAAAATTTACAAGGTATTTTAAAGGTTTTACAAGTTTTTACAAGTGTTTTGGCGAGAAAACTTGCGGGATCACTTTTCCCGCCAAAAAATATTTTGTATTTTGTGAACCTAATTTTGTTATATTTCCTTATATATTTGTGATATCTTTTATTAAAAGAAGGGTAATTTAGTCATTTTGTACATAAAAAGGGGTATTTTTAAAAATGGACAGCCAAATGGGGCATTTTTGAAAATGGGTATTGAAAAAGGGGCATTTTTGTGAGTCTCCCAACATTTAAATATGGTTTGACACCTCTAAATATTTGAAAATTTGATTCTGCAAGCAATTTTAGAATTAACGAATAATAGATTGTGCACTCAATATTTTATCAATATTTTAAAATGAAATATTGAGATTCTAAAATAAAAATATAGACTCCACGCACGGGTTGATTTTGGTATTATTATATACTAAATATATGTTTATAACATATTCGATTATGCGAATAATTGGTAAATTCCGTAATTATAAATCTCAAACAAATTCTGTAATTATATTAGCTCAAACAAATCTCTATTTCAACAACCAAAGAATTATAAATTGAAAAAGTATTTTCTAAATTAATTCAAAATAATAGCTAATTTTCTTAATTAATTCAAAATAATCTATGTTTTATATACGATTCATTTATGATATTTTAATTTTAAATCTAATTGAAATATATGCAATCCTATTTTGTGGTTGTTAACATAAATTAACTCATTGTTCAAAAAATATTACTTTTTAAAAAATAAAATTATTTTCCGTTTTCATATCTTAAAAAAAAATTATCCATAATTGAGTATTATAAAAAAAATTCTATATTTATTTTAATATTGTATATAGGGACTGACAAAAAAATTAATATTTTTTCACTTACTATTATAATATACTAAAACTTAGTTCTAATATATATATTATATAAATTTTGTAAGAAATAAAATTCAACCCGTACTTTAGTACGGGTGATGATCTAGTAACGGGTACATGATGAGAACGTATAGTCAGATAATGATTGAAAAACAATATTCGAACTATTTTTGATAAAATACGGGAGAAAAATTTTGAATAACGGGATAAAAATTCAGGTAGCGAAATTCAATTCTCAAAATCTCACTAATTTATGTATGGGGTCGACTTCGGAACGGTAAAGGTCCACTTTGGAAAAGGTATTTCGAGATATTCGAGCATTTTTGAAAAAACTGAGAAAAATTTTGAGATACATGAAAACAATCTAGATAATTTTCATATTTGTAAAAATTAAATACCCAAATGAGAAATACGGATATCTCATCGGAATTTCTTACTCAATTTCTCTGTTGGATTAAAATAAACATTTTTCGAACATGTAAATATTTAAACAGGAATAATTACGGCCTTATGGGACGAATAATTCCCGACGGATACAGGATGGCAAAACACATATTGCAAAACCTTAGCCTTTAATCATACATTTTATTAGTTTCATTTTCCCTTAAAACTTGTGCATAGAACTTGTCCAAAACTATGGAAACTTACAAAAGCATTACTATCTCTAGTCACATATATTTATAGATCGAAATTAATACAAAGTTTATTATTCATCTCCTTTTCAAGCTTTCTTGGAATGTTTGTTAGCACTGTAAAACCTTCCAATGCCTTTGAAAGCCTTAGATAGCTTTAGAAGGTTAGGCCTCGCAATTCCCAAATGCATCTTCCCTGTTGAGAACTTCAAAGCTTGTAAACAACAAAGTTGCTGATGATCAATCCCATCATCATCTTCCTCCTCCACTATTACTTCCTTCTCTATACTCTTTGTCTTCAACATCGACTTTGTCTTCTTCTTGATCTTCTTCTTCTCTTCTTCAGTTTGATGCTTCTTCTCTGTTTGTGTCTCGTATGTCTCCCATAGCTGATCCATGCCTTGTCCAACGTCAGCATTGTGTCTTTCTTCGAATAGCTTGCAAGCTAATGTTCTTCTCCATTCTTTCTCTTTTCTCATTGATCCAAAGCTTTGAAGAGAAACATTATCTTCTTCTTCCTTCTTAGTTGCTTCATTTCTTTTACCTTCTCCGAGAAACTTGCTCAGTTTTGGGAGATCATAACTTTCATTATTAAAATCTCCGACAAGGTCAACTTTTTCAGCTTTGGATTCTTCTTTTGTCGGCTCTTCTTCATTATCGAGGACAACGTCACTTTCTGGCTTGACTTTTTGTTCTTCTTCTTCTTTCTTTTCACATTTCTTGGTTTCTTCTTCTTTCTCCAAAGCAATCACATCCTCAAACTTCAACGGTTGGATCTCAACTTGCTCCTCATGGGTCTCATCGGTCAAAGCTTCCGACACCTTGCTCTCATGGCTACAGAATTTGTCAACAAACGTCAATTCATCGGAACATATCTCATTCTCGGACGCACATTCCAATATTGAGCAAGCCTCAACGACCATCTTATACGCTTCCAACTCCTCCAGTGACTTAAAACCCTCATCGTTGAGATCAAACTTGTGTTCCAAGACACTACCAAGCTTACTACAAAAGGAGAAAAGGAAGCTTGGTTGTGTTTCTAGTGATTCAGAGTCGAGACAAGTGTCTTGAACATGTAAAGTACTCAATAAGGCAAGAAGCAAGAGTGTGGTTGTGACAAAGAGTGGTGAAAGAAAAGAGAGAATCTTGAAGATGTAAGGAGAAAAGAAGAGCAAGTAAGAAAAATAGAAAGGGTGAGAGAAGATAAATGAGCAAAAGAGATGAAAATCAGAGAGAAGAAGAGAAGATAAACCAATCTTCTTCCTACTTGGAGTACTCTCTTCTTGAGATGACAAGGCAAATTCAGACATGTTTGCAGAAAAAACCTTAGGGAGAAAAACTAGCCAAGTTTTTTTTGTTCTGTTGCTCTGCTCTCTCAAGAGTGGTGTGGATATAAGAAAGAGATGTGTCCAAAAGAGAGAGAAAGAAACAGTGACAAGAAAAAAAGAAAGCAACTTTTGAAAGTTACCTTTCTTTTCACCTATTTGGCCATTTCAATAACCACCACCATTGCCTTTTTCCTTTCCTCAGTCTAAATGTTCATTACTATGACAAAAAAACCCCCCATAAAACAGATTAATCAAGAACTATTACAACAATTTTCAGTGATTGTGAATAGTGATCAAGTCCTAAGAGATCATCATATTTTTGACATCTATTCTTAAGTTTAACTGATAATGTCGTATGCAAGAACCTAACAAAACTGTCCTAATTGATGATATGAGTGCACTAACAACATTCAATTATCTTAACCTAAAACACACCTACAATCACGGAGCTAGTTAGTTCATACTAATAACTCAAACCAAAGAGAGTAGTCTTAGTGGTTGCATATGGGGAAAAAAACATAATGGGTACTCAAGTGCAGTTCATTATTAGTTCTTTTGTCTCTTCGCTTTTTCTTTTCTACTTCTTCTAAATGGACCCATAATTGTTCTTCTTTTTCAATCTCTTTTGTCCTTAAAAACTTACTTTTTACTAGCCTAGAGGGTATCTTGAGAAGACTTGGTTCCAACTTTTATCTTTCTCTCTCCAATTATCAACTGGGATCACAATTTGGTAAAAGCAAAATGGGTAGAGAGAGTGAGTGAAACTGAAGCAATATTGGAATATCTCATGGTCTCAGTGAGATATTACTACATAGTGAAAAGATTCTTGTTTTAGTTTTCATCCTCTACCAACATATATGTACAGTAAGCAAACATTACTAGTCAACAATATAGATAGAAAACAGACACTATAAATACATCATACATGCAGATCATACCAACCTAACACCAAATAAATAGCATTGGCTTAGTAAGTTGTACTTGGATATAAAAGAATCATTTGCAATGGGAAGACTCATACTATGGTTCCTTTGCACAAGGAACTATAACGGTAAATAAAAAAGAGATACAAGGGAAGTCTTGTAAAAATTATATGCCTAAACTCTTGTCATCGTGGTCGGGATCCGTTGCAGCCATTGTGGGAGAACAATCGGGGATAGGGGTATTTCTTCTTCGATGTATTTCGCATAAATCGGGCATCTTATCGGAATTTGACTGTCGGTGTTACATTGCAACTCAATGTGGGGCATAACCGTCCCATTGAGTAAGTTAATAGATTGCACATTCCATTCAACAAATGTCAATTCATATTATGTCAATAAATTTATATGTTTGCTCGCGGTAATTGTGAACTCTTGGGAGAATCGATGACTGGTTCAAGCCTTCAAAGATGCACTTGTTGGTGCAAAAAAAATTACCATTCGATTTTACTGGTTTTAACAAAACTGAACCTAAACCGGACACTTCATAAAAATGACAACTAATGGGTTTTTAGGTTAATCCATAATTGAACCAAATCATTTATTTCGGTTGGCTTCAGTTCTGTTTTTTTTTCCACCTCTAAGAAAATCTCCTATAAGGCTAAAACACATGTTTCTCCAAAAAAAACATGAAGAAGGGCCAAATAGCTATTATCAAACATTGGGGGAACAAAACTAAATTTAAAGAATCTTGCAGAGTAATTTATTAATTATGTAAGAGTAATGATCGGGTTCGAGTTAGGGTTCAATCTCGGGTTTAGATCAACCCGATTCACAACACCGCATTGAAATTGGAGTCTCTCAAGTTCCGTGGCGTCAAAAATGGCGTCAGGTGATCGGAAATCCCCAGAACAAACGAATCAACCGTTGTCTCCTCCGACGCCGATTGTGCAGGAAAACGGAACTCCGACGAAGCGTGTGTTGATCACTTCCCTTTTAGCAGGTTTCGCAAAGCTTCTTCTCTCTCTGAGGGTTTATTGTTACATTGATTAGAAGAATTCATAACTTGTGGTGTATAGAGAGAATTCACCAGTTTTATGTTGTCTTATGAAGATCAAAGCCTTTGATATTTGGCTTGATTGTTCTATAGCTTAGTTATTGGAGACCATAGCATTAGTAATAGAACATGTAAGACATGTAACATTAGCATAAATTCACATTATGGAGAATCCACTAACTTTATGCTAATGAAGACGACGAATTTTCGCTTGGATTGACTATTCAATTGCTTACTTATTGCGTAGAAAATGTAAGAAATGTCGCATCGCGTTGTCTGAGAAGATGTTTCATGTGCAGGAGTAATTGGTGGAGGAGCTGGTTTAGTGTCTAAACACCGGATAGCTCATCCGAATATTCCGACTGTTTACGCTACTAATTGTGCTATTGTCGCTGGTTGCTATTGCGGTATGTAATTTGCTTATGTTCTTTTATCGCAACTAATTCTGTTATAGTGTGCGGTGTGCCTGCTTTTTTCCATTGTGTGATTGTCGCAATCTTTTTTTTTTGTTTTTGGTAGGAGCTCGTGAATCTGTGAGAATAACTCGAAGATCAGAACATGATGATTTAATGAACTCAGCTATTGGAGGACTTTTCAGTGGTGCTTTGCTTGGACGACTTCAAGGTTTGTTATATTGAAACTTTCTGGCAGTATTTATTCTACTGTCTTCCTCATTGTTTATGAAACTCCATGTCCCTGAAGATTTGGCTGTGTTAATACTCTCAAGTCTCAAGTAGTCTGTCCATGAGAGTGTGCTATTTGCTGTTACAATAAGAGATCACATCATAATAACTCTGCCATCTGATTCAACTGGAATGAATCTTTCATGATTGTCTCTTTAGGTTATTAAGCTCGGAACTGACATACTATCGGTGTTTACAGGAGGTCCTCAGGGTGCGATTCGCTACTCTCTAGTTTTTGCTGCTGTAGGTACAGCATTTGATTATGCTTCCCTTAAAGCAAAACCAATGTTAGAGAGCTACCGTAACATGGAGTCATTCAAGTTACCTGAATGGTCTCCTATTAAAGTCCTCGACGAAGAAGCTTTAGCAAAGAAGAAAGCTCAGGAAGAGAAAATATTCCCGGAAAGAGTCCTCGGCAAATTGAACAAGGAATAGTCTTGAGTCTTGACCAACTTAGATTATTTCTTTTTTGCCCATAAAGTTCTGAAGTTTGCATTTTCTTTCTGGGTTTGCTGTTTCGTGAAAGTAATTCCAGACCTTTTAGATGAGACTTGAGGAGGATTTTGTTTTTTTGAGTTTCCTCAGGGTAAAATTTTTTCTTGAGACATAAGAAAACATCTTTGTATGTTGACCTACCATAAAGCGTATATACTAATGGTTAATTATGGGCATACCTTTTTTTGTTTGTTTTGACGGCAATTATGAGCATACCTAAAATTTCGAGAATTTTGTATATTAGAAGACTTTTGGCTTACCATTGTAGAAATGATATAACGTACATTTATGATACAACTAGTATAAACGACTAAGTACAAATTATGGTCAAATATTTGGTTACTATAGTGCTTGTTTTAATTAGTCTTACACCTATATACAACTTTTGATATTTTTCTTTGATTACATCAGTATTCCGGATTAAAAGTCCGACTAATTCGATGGGTAAACCAATCCATCGCTAGACATATTTATCATGTTAAAAACCCCCAAACCGCGTGTTTACGTCATGAGACCCTATGTCTAAACTTTTTGTTGGTATCAATGTTAAGTTTATACTATTTTTGTTTGTGACAGAAGGTTACAAAGTAGTACAAATAGCGAAAAGACCGAAAAATTATAATACATAAAGAATAGAACAAGACAGAACAACAAGTAGACACCAACTCGAACAAAACTAGGTAAGAAACGGCGAGATGGAACAGAACCACCACAATGAAAAACAATTGTAGAACGCAACATAAACTCAAAATTGCATATGTCCAAACTTTTTTCTAGAAATGACTACATTTGCAATTTATGGGTTTCTTCTAGACTGTACTTGTTGTTTAGTTAACGTTCTAGAGTCTACCAATTGATTTATATATTTAAAATCGTGTGATATTGGTTGAATCGTCCGACATAGTTGGTGTATAGTGGTTTAGAAGTAGATACTAAAATGTGTGAGTTGTTATGAATTATACACTATTAGTGATGCGTAATAGAATGAGCAACAACAACAAAAAAATCTCAACAACAACAACACAACACATGTGGAGAAGAAAAAGTCTTCACTCTACAAAAATTTACAAAATCAAAGTCACGTGATTAAACCGAGAAGACAGGGAAGACACGTGCTTGGGCTATATTACAAAAACAGAGCACCACAACAACACAAGCCAGGCTTTTTCACATTCGTCTTTGACAATTGTCCAACAATGGCTTTAAATGGTAAACTCGTAATTTCAGACTCCACCAAGTGGCAAATTTAAAAGTCTCGTTTTCATTGTTTTGTCTTTCTTCTTCTTCATCTTCACCTCGGACCCATCGGAGAGATACTTACTACAGATTCAATTCTGAAATAAAAAACCGAACTTTCTCGTTTCTTCTCTCACAATCTCTCTGTTCCATTTTTCTCAATTTCGAAAGATGTTGAAGCTTTCGTGTAATGTGACTGATTCTAAGTTACAGAGAAGTTTATTCTTCTTCTCGCATTCTCATCGATCTGATCCAGTGAATTTCATTCGTCGGAGAATTGTCTCTTGTTCTCAGACGAAGAAGACGGGTTTGGTTCCTTTGCGTGCGATTGTATCTACTGATCAAGGAACTGTGATTCAAGGTTTGGGTACTCTCGCGGATCAGCTCCGATTAGGTAGTTTGACGGAAGATGGTTTATCTTATAAGGAGAAGTTTGTTGTTAGATCTTACGAAGTTGGAAGTAACAAAACCGCTACCATTGAAACCATTGCTAATCTTTTACAGGTGAGATTTGAGTCTTTGTGTGTGTGTTTTTGTTGTAAAGTTTTGATCTTGATGATTGGTTTTGTTGTTGTCTTGTTGAATTCGTTATGCAAAGTATGAATCTTTTTTTGGTGAATTTGTTGTGTAGGAGGTGGGATGTAATCATGCACAAAGTGTTGGATTTTCGACTGATGGATTTGCAACAACACCAACTATGAGGAAATTGCATCTCATTTGGGTTACTGCAAGAATGCATATTGAGATCTACAAATACCCTGCTTGGTATTTTGTTTATCTATTTGTTGTGTGTTTGACTATAGTGAGGAGGAAATTTTGAATCTTTTAGCTTCTTTGTTTGGTTACTACAGGGGTGATGTGGTTGAGATAGAGACATGGTGTCAGAGTGAAGGAAGGATTGGAACAAGGCGTGATTGGATTCTTAAGGATTGTGTTACTGGTGAAGTCACTGGCCGTGCTACAAGGTAGGAGAAAAATAGCAAAGTTTTGGACTTTGCAGTGTTGCTTTCTATATTGGTTAGGGACCTTATGTTTAGTATTTGTGCCATGGACTTATATTAGACATGGATATTGGAGTTAGTTACATGTTTTGTGTTAAGAAATACGTTGCGGTAACTTGGATTTATGAGCCTGTTCTGATTTCTTGTGTGACATTTGTGTTATGGTCTCAGCAAGTGGGTGATGATGAACCAAGACACAAGACGGCTTCAGAAAGTTTCTGATGATGTTCGGGACGAGTACTTGGTCTTCTGTCCTCAAGAACCGAGGTAAAGGACACTTTAGTACCAGGGCAAAGCTTGCTGGTCAGTGAATGCTATTGCTAACTATTTTTTTCTGTATCTTATAGGTTAGCATTTCCGGAAGAGAATAACAGAAGCTTGAAGAAAATCCCGAAACTCGAAGATCCGGCTCAGTATTCGATGATTGGGCTTAAGGTACAAACAATAGCATTATAGGATTCTTTCTCCAACTTTAGGCTTCAAAATTCCTTAAGGCTTTGTGATCATGTTTTTGCAGCCTAGACGAGCTGATCTCGACATGAACCAGCATGTTAATAATGTCACCTATATTGGATGGGTTCTCGAGGTAAGTCACTAGGTTTACATGAAAAGCTCAATGTGCTTAAATGGGAACTTTAGTAATCATATGATCTTGTTTCCTGGTAATGGCAGAGCATACCACAAGAAATTGTAGACACGCACGAGCTTCAGGTCATAACTCTGGATTACAGAAGAGAATGTCAACAAGACGATGTGGTGGATTCACTCACCACCTCGGAAATCGGTGCAACCAATGGCTCTGCCACGTCTGGCACACAGGGCCACAACGATAGCCAGTTCTTGCACCTCCTGAGGTTGTCTGGAGATGGTCAGGAGATCAATCGCGGGACAACCCTGTGGAGAAAGAAGTCATCAAGATAAAGAAATAGACAATCTCTTAAGCCATTTTGTTCTCAAGTTTCCATCATCTCAATGAAGATTTCGCTTCACGAGTCTCATTTTTTTCTCTTTCAAATTTGGGTTAGACTAGAGGAAACTGGATTGTTGGAGTAATCTATGTTGAGCTTAATTATGTTTGTTCATGTTTTTGTACAAATTTTGGGATTTAGCCAAACCCATATCTTCTTTGGTCTTGTCTTCTGCCTGCGTGTATTTTTAATCTATCTGTTCAAAACACAAAGATTGTTCATCAGATGTTTTATATAAACAGAGTTTCTTTGACATCAGAGACCTGAAAAGGTAAAGAGTTAACACCAAATGAGTCAAGAACCTTTCACATAAAACTCTATGGTTATTTGATTAAACAAGTTACATGATTGATAACAGATTCTGCCTATTACACAGGCTTGTAAAAAATGAAAACAGTGAGATAAAAACTGAAAACTGTAAAAGAAAACACATTGAATCGAAGAACGATAAGATATCATGAGTCCTTCCTATTCCTATGTCAGAGCTTCTCAGTTAATCTAATCATGAAAGAGTTAACTGCAGAAGCATCCAAGACAATCCATGAAGACTCGAAAAGCTCGTGAAAGTAATCAGCTCTACTTTCTTGAGCTGCCTTTCTGAAAGCATTGCCAAAAGCATTCCCTCTGACTGCCCCGAGCCTCGGCTTCCCACAAACTCCAACCACGAGTATCTTCCCAGGTTGTTGAGATGCGCAGGCACATAGCATCGGTTTCATCCTAGCTCCTTTCTCTCTCAAAGCATCCATTAGAAAGTAACAAAATTTTGTTAAGGCCTGAGGATATCCCAAATACTTAGCATCCATGGAATCTTCAATCTTTACCCATCTGAATTTCCTACCACTTCGGATGCATCCGGTTTTGGTGATTGCTGCGCTTCCTTGTCTAAGAATTGCTCGTTGAACCTTGATTGCTTGTTGCATCCCAGACCGAAGTTTATCCAAATTGTTCAAAGACAAAGCATCATAAGCTTCACCAAACTGTTTCGAAGCAGAGGAGCCACCTGACCCAAGAAATGATTCAAGAAGTGCTGTAATACCATACACAACATCTGCGGCAGAGACCCTTGAGCTATAACCATGAAGCCGCAAGAAACTCCGGTAGTAGAAATCATTAAGCCCATATTCTGGCAAAAACCGATCAAACTCTTGCTTCATTTTCCTTTTCACCTCATGGCTCATGTATGGAAACTTTTGCTGGCACTCGATCAGCGCAAATCCCATACGTGCTAGAAGAAGCTTAAGTTTCTTGATGCCGTTATCACTCCATGTCTTCAACTTCGTCGCAATGTATGAAGAACAAAGCATGGAGTCAAACAACGTCCACTCCCTGAGAAGCATAAGCCTAGGCTCTTCTTCATAAGAGATTCTTGAACAGTCAGGTGCTCGAACCTTGGTTCCATCTTTCAAAGTAACAGAAGTGATCTTATCTATATTCCCTGAGCTATTGATGTGTTGTTCAAGCTCCATAACCGCAGCTTGGTATCTTTCATCAGTCAACCTCTCATGAACAAACTGATCAGTCAAAGAAACACAAGCCAGCCACAACAACTCATTTGTGTTCTTCCTCAACATATGAGATAGCTCAAACAACAAACATCCCGATGGCTTCCCATGAAAAGTCCCCATCTTGTAATAATCCCTCTTTAACTTCTTGAAAACCTTCACACCATCTCCCATTTTCCTCCTCTTACTTGGCCTATCACCATCTCCATCATCATCATCATCATCATCCTCCTCTTCCTCATCTTCTTCTTCCTCCTCCTCCTCATCAGACTCACCCCCTTCTTCGACATGTAACTGAAAGCTCTCATTCGCCAATTTCAACACATCGAAATCATAAGCCAAATCAGCTTGCCTCTCATCATCATCAGTATGAAGAACAACAACTTGCTCATTATAATCACTAAGATTATGCAAATGAATAGGCCTATGACTATCAACAACAAAAACACGAGCCGCGGGACCTAACTTCAACACGACCTTCAAATCACGGTGACAACCCCAATTAATCAAAAGTATAGTAACAGGAGGAGACTCAGACGAAGAAGAAGACAAACCAGCAGGACCAGCATACTTGTGAATCTCCAAAAAAGACGATACAGGAAAACAAGAATACTGAATCGAATCTGATTCGAGGATATGAGTAATAACCTTAAGGGCACAAAGTGAATCAACATCAGATGTTGAAGGAAATATCAAAAGTGGATTCTGTGAAGATAATGAAGTAGCTGACTCACGAAGCTTCGCGTAGAACGATTCTACTTTCTGAATCCTCACCATATCCGTGAAATTGAATTAACCCAGAACGGAGAATTTGTAGATCCAGATGTGAAAAATCAAATCCCTAATAAGAACCCTAGAAATGGCGGAAGATTTTATCGAAGCAGTGCCCAGAAATTATCTAACGGAGACCATTAGTTTTTCACCAGATTTGACGCCAGAATAGGATTGAGACCAGAAATCAAATCCACAGCCAAAGTACCTGAGATTTGGGTTCTTCTGGGTAGCTTTAAAGTCAGGAACTTTGGATTCGTGTCTCTCTTCTTCGGCTTATTGACGAAGATTACAGGAAGCAAATGGAACAAAGAGAGAGAGCGAAGAAGAGAGCGAGGAAGAAGAGAAGAAGAAGAGAGATAGAGAGAGAGAGTGTGTTCTGTGGAAGGTAGAGATCTGAAGGTATTTTGATTTCTCTCTTGTGGTAATGAAAATTTGAAAGCTTTTTCATTTTCGGGGTTTGTGTATTTGCCGGTGAAATCTTCAAATTTCGAAATTTTTTGATCGACCGCCAAAAAGTTTTGACGATGGCGCTGAACCTGAAAATGATGAAAAGAGGATAGGATCTTGTGTAGCGCAGCACAGGAGAAAGAGTGAATCTGGACCGTGCATTTATTCAACTTGAATGGAACTAGTTTTCGGACCAGTTTCTAGATTATGATTTTGTAAAAATCCAAAAATTAACCATTCATGATTCAACAAAAAATAGATTCCCTAAAAAATAGGGAAACCAGTTTTTGGCAGATTTTAGCTATTTGTTCATGGAATCCAAAAACCAAGTTTTGTGGGTTTTTGAAACAATTTACGTCACATTTTTTTTTCAATTATTTTTTATTATTTTAAATATGCTATTTTCACCATTTACCAATTCATTTAAAACTAAAACCCTATTCTATAGGTTTTTTCCTCAAAAATCTATGTTTGGTTTTTTTTATGCATCATTGTTTTGGCATTACTTATGAGATTTTTATTTTATTTCTATGTAAACATTGGTTTTATTTACCAAACCTATTTTTATATGCAATATACCTGTGTTTAATTTTTTTCTGCATCTTTTTAATTTTTTTATTATTCAAAATTTTATTTTCAATATTTTAGTAATTTTTAAACACAAAATATAAACCAAAAATTAAAATATATAACTTAAAAAAGTTTAAAAATTAATATTATGTAGAAAAACTAAAAACTAAACAAACTACCATTCAAGATTTTGCAAAAACTAAAATCTACACCAAAAATCAAAAACCAAAAACCAAAATCCAAAAACTAGAATCTAAAAACCAACAAAAAACTACCAAACATTCAGGGCCGAAATTTTATTTGTTTTATATATGAAAAAGAATATTATTTGATTTCAAACTCTAGTAGTCTAGTTATTGTTGGTGATGGGCTTTATACGGGTTTCAAACCTCGAGTTTGGCCCAACAAAAAACACATTATTTCTTCAGTTGCTAGTTGCTACTACTCACATCATTGTATTAGTTTAAACATTATCAACAATCATCAATACAAGTCTCTAGTTATTTTTCATTGGTTCAATTAGACCCATTGCTCATATAAACAAAGGCTCCTCTTTAAGATATAAACGAGGTTAAATATCAGTTTGGGTTTAGAAAGTACGATTATGGTTTAGATTTTATGATTAAACGAGGTTAAATATCGGTTTGGATTTATAAACAGATTTAGATTTTACAATTAAACGAGGTTAAATGTCGGTTTGGGTATAGAAAATACGATTAGGGTTTAGTTATTTTACGATTAAATGAGTTTAAATGGCGGTTTGGGTTTGCAAAAGAGAATTAGGGTTTAAATTTTTGTAGTTAAACGAGATTATATATCGGTTTGGATTTACAAAAAAGTGAGTTTTTAATGATTTAATTGAATTATTTTATTTTGATAATAATAATTGTTTTAATTTTTTAATCAGATGATATGGCAAATTCTGATTGGTTATTAAAGAGGGGGTTAATAAATTGGGTTCAGCCCTAGGGGTGAACCCAATAATTGTTCATATAATTTTCTAAATTATTACATACATATTCTTTATATATTAAAAATGGGTTTTTAATTCTGATGTGACAAAATATTTGTATCAGCACTTTATATAAAATTAGTTTGCATCAAATATACAAAATAAACAATGAAAAACACTATATTTTTAGTGATAAAAACTGATACACTTGAAGAACTAATTTTTAAGAATGAGTTAATTTGATCATTTTTGCAAAAAATAAAATAATAATAACATTATTCTGAAATGAGTATTTTAGCTTACATGTCCAACATAAAGAGCTCCCATAGCATTTTTATTATTTATTAACTAGTAAATATATTTTGGTTATGTAGGTATAAAATAATGTTTAATTAGCAAGCAGTAGTATTACATACACAAGTACTAGGATTATTATATCCTAAACACTCACATCCAAAAACTTGTTTTTTTCTCTCTTTAAAAGCTGCTAGCATGCATCACTTCTTATCTTGCTTGTGGTACCAATAGGACAAGATCGATCATACCATTCATCACTCACCCTGCACACCTTTTTTGGCACCCGAGCATCCATCTCTATCATTTTATATAAAACCACAAGACATTTAGATAAACAATTGGAGATACAACAAATTTTAATTACTATAACCATGTTTTAGACCTAATTCCTTCTTCTTCTTTTTTTTTTTTTATTATTATAGAAACCTCTTTCCTTTTTTCTTCGATTCAAGTAATTTTTTCGCAGTTAATTTTTCAGCTTTCCACAACTAACCAGTTAAAAGTTTAAAACTAATTAAACATAAGCTGATTTAATTTATTACCTTGAAAATGACCCAAAACAAATAACATGATAACACAAGAAAATGTGAACAATGTAGCAGATCTCATAACTTATAAATGCTGTATAAAATTATCTCTTGATGTATGAATACGTAAAGTCATATTTTGTCTTAATCTCGTAACAATCATATATATACCCAAACACATGATAAAAATAGTTGAATCTACGGATTGTCAAAAAAAAAAATAGTTGAATCTATTAATAGATAACGCGGGCTAAGTCAAACCTTTATTTGCGACTATATGTAACCAAATTAGTAAATAATCCATTAAAATGCAAACAATGCTTATTGACAAGAGACGAGTAGTAAGAAGAGGTTAGGGGTGTCATGAGACTCCTATAAAAATTAATATATAACTATTTATAGTGTAAATTTGATTGAATTAGTAAATTATTTGGTGAAAATTAATTAGGTTTTGATCCCAATATATTTTGTTTACAAACTTCATATGCATCTACTAATTCATATAATTACATCTATTATTATAGTATTTTAATAATATTTTTTATATTAATATTTTTTATTATGGCCTTCATTTCTGAACGACGACATTTTTGAGACACAACATATGTAGAACTTCTTTCCTTTCTTTCTTAATTGCAGTACTATTTTCGCAATCAAAGTTCCAAACTTTTTTAACTAACCAATCAAATCTGAACACAAGCTAATATATTATTTTGAACCTGACTCAAAACGAGTAATATGATAACACACGAAAACATGGACAACGTAGCATATCTCATGACTTAGAAATAATATACAAATGTATCTTTTGATGTATGCCTAAAGATATATTTTGCCTTAATCTCGTAATAGAATTCTACATTTTTTCAAACATTGATAGTAAATATATCTAAACACACGAAATAGCTCTTGGGTTAATGTTTTAGGAAAAACGTTATTACAAAACTGCCATTAAAAGATGTTGTCACGTCAGCGAAAGAAAGTGTTGTAAACATCAAGTCTGTCGCTATAATGACGGCAGATTTAATATAATTTGGTAGATTTGCACGGTAGAATGAGTAAAATGATTGAGATACGTGGTAGAGTTATTAGGCACTAGAGTTTATTGATAGAGTTACTTATAGTAGTAGCAGAGTAAGTTGGAAACATAGTTAAATGACAGAGTAGGATGACATTACGTTTCCTCACATAGCACCGTGACAGATATAACGTAATGTGGTGGCAGAGTTAAAGGATAGAAAAAAAGAATTAAGTTATGCAACAGAGTAACATGTAATAGCAGCAGACTAAATAAGCGATATAGAGTTACTTGACAGACAAATCGAAATAAGTCTGTCATAACGTGGATTAAGTAACTCTATCATAACGATGCAGAGTTACGGTTTACTCATATAGCACCCAATATTTTATTTATCAGCGCATAGTTGTTAGAGTTAGGTAGTACGTGGTGATAGATTTATAAGAAATTATTAGCGATTAGACTTAAGTAGCGCGAACATGACATTATGAAGTGTAGATTTTACCCTTAAAAAAAATTTATATGTTATCCAAAACAAATTTGAATCAAGTAAATTGTGACAAGTTACATTGTTTTGTTGGACAAACGAAGTAAAAAAACAATACGGCAACTTTAACGAGTTCGCCTTTCAAATGGTACATCTTATGTGATTTCCTTAATCACAAACATCCATTTATCCCAAAAGAATTATGATACACTACCACAAGTATTTAGAGTAGAGTATTTAGAGTATATGTACATAGTAAAAACGTTGATTGATTGTTTGTTTGGATAAATTTGCTTAGAGGATTACATACAAAAACTAGAGTGATTACCCTAATTATGTTTCTTTTTCGTAAAATATTTAGATATAATTAGAAGTAGAAAGGATTACTCATCATACCATTACATATTACTTGGAAATCCAAAAAATAGTTGAAATTTAGAAAGTATTAGGTCAAAAGACACCCAAAGTTTCAAAGATACCACAAAACACAAGTTTTAAAGACACCAAAAGAACCCCGAAATTTAAATCTGTTTCAAATTACAATCTTCTGCTTCTTCTTCTCTGCAAAGATTGTATCAAAAACACCACAAAGCCTGAAATAAAATGAACAACAAGACTTTTAATTCAATGAAATAAAATGAAATTTGAATCACAGAGAATAGAACTGGAGAAAGGAGAAAAAAACCTGAATAGATCATCTAGAGTCCATCACCATCTCCTTAACAAACCGTGAGTAAGCTTAATTTCCTTCGATTTGCAATGGTTCGAAAGAGAGAATTTTTGTCTGCTCTGTCTTTGAGTAAGAGAGAATAAACTAGGGTTTTTAGGTTTCGGCACA